CAAAAAAAAAAAAAAAAAAACCAAACAAAAAACAGAGCATTGTCTGGGTTGCTTTTCTTGACGCTCGGACATAACATCCGACACCTGAACCTTAAAATAGGAAAGCTTTACTACTCCAGTCTTCTTCCAAAGTCCCACCTCTGAGCACATGAGGCTTTTGGGGGCATCTGAGTATAAACCGTAACAAGTGTTGTCAGTACATAAAGCCATGATGATTTTGCCTTTGGTTAGTGTGTGGGAGAGAAAGGGCTTTAGGGCCAATTACCGAGGGACTCATACCTGACAGTTAGGTAGAAGAGGAGGTACTGAAATGCAAATAGAAGCCAGAGAAAGAAGAAAACTGGCCAGTGTCATGTCTTGACAGCTGTGAAAAGACAGTGCTGCAAGAAAGGGTTAATGTCAAATGAGGCTACAGTTCTACTGAGATAGAAGGTTTAAATTCCTGTAGCAAATGAGATCATTGTAGATTTCAACACTACTATTGTCTTTTTAAATCCTTAGGAACACTCATTGATTTATTTTTGAAAAATACTAGCTTTATTGAACTAAAATTTACTTACCACACAGTTTACAAACTTGAAGTTAAGATTTAGTAGATTTTAGCACATTGACAAGAGTTGTACAGCCATGAGCACAGTCAAATTTAGGTCATTTTTGTTACCTGAAAACAAAACACTCCACCCACTCTTTTATCTCCCAACCCTTCCCCTCCAGATCTGGGCAACCATTGAGCTACTCTCTGTCTTCCTAGATGTTCTGATGAAGGAGCACTCGTCTATAAGGCTATTATTATTGACTTGTTATTTTCACATTTCTACTGATGAAAGTGTTTGCCTTGCAATTAAGTTAGAAAAATAAAAATTAGAATTTGCTAGAATCAAGACTTTTTGTTTTGTTGATGTTACTTTTTAAAAACAATTTTTCAACAGGCATGTTTTTGTCTTTTTCCTTTTTTAAAAAATGGCATTTTACTTTTTTATTCTGCCATGTGCAAGATGAAAATATTTATTTGAATAAATGTAGTACTTTTGAAAGATAGTGCTATACATTGCTAATGTTACTTGTTTTCTTGTGTTTTTAATTTGCGACTGTCCCTCTGTATCTGTCTCTGTGTTTTTCTCCTGCTCCCCCCTCTTCCCCTCCCTCCCTTCCTCCCCCCCTCTCTCCCTTCCACCTTTCCTCCCTGTCCCGACTTCTCTCTCTCCCCCCTCTTCCTCTCTTCTCTCCCTCTCCCTCTCTCCCTCTTTTTCTCCCCACTTCCTTCTCGTCCCTCCTTCTGTCCCTCCCCCTCCCTCCCTCCTTCTCTCCCTCTCCCCTTCTGTGCTTCTCCCTCTCTTTCCATCCCTTCCCTCCTTATCCCTCCCTCCTTCTCTCTCTCTCTCTCTCATATACACAACTGCCCAGCAGGAACTATTATTTTTTCATAGAAAATAGACTACATGTTTTAAGACACAGAGTAGGTTTTAATTCCAGTTATTTACAAATCAAAAGAATCCTTTTACTTCTCCACTTTTATTTTGTTCCAGGTCACACATGCCAACCTTATCACAGTGGGTAAGAACCTGACAGTATAATGAGAATCAAATTTGGGTAACAGGACCTGTATTTGCTAGTGAGAACAAAATTGAGTCCCTGGGGTGTGAGAAGTTAAAATTTACTTAGGGTAGTTATGAGTTTAAGTTTTTTATTTGAGTTGAAAGTAAAGATAACTGAAATTGTAGCTGTTCTTTGTGCTCATGCTTTTTACCAGTATTAGTTCATGGGATGCTTGAAAATATTTGGAACATTATATGGGAGTTGGCTCCTTGGAAATATTGAGGTTCGCTAAGCAGCACTCTCAGATAAGGAGTTTTAGGATTGCTTTTATGTCTCTAGTGGCTGATAGAATTTTTCTGTTTAAATTAATAATGGTATATGTGAACACAGTGAGTTTAAAATTGCAAGGGAGAAAATACCTATCTGATTAGTTTAGGAAAGTTCATTTACATTTAACACTTGAGAAACTACTTATTCCTTACTTCCCATTGCTAAATTACTGAGTTTAGTACTTGTTAATTTTGAGGAATTATGATAGTAGTGTCCCCCTCCGAAAAAAACCCCACAGTTTCAAAATTGTGTCTGAATTATGCTTTGAATTCTGTATAGATTCATGCTTCAAGATATTTTAAAATAAGAAGTTACCTTTTTTGTGTAACTGTTTTTAAAAAAATACAGTTTCCTTGTAGGTAATGATCATCCATAAGAAATTAATGGGATTATGATCCAGTTTTACTGTATTCAATTATGCCTGTTCTATGGAAATATGTTGTTCATTAAATTGTTGAAATTTAGGTTGAGGGCCATTCCTTATAATATGAACTTAGATGAGTCAACCTTCTGAATATTCTGCAGTTCTTGAAAATAAGTCTAGATCTTAAAATACTGATATTCTCTTTGGCTTTGTAAAAATTAATCACTGCCAAGGCACTTGGTTTTAACTCTTGAGTAAAATTGATTTTAAGTTTTTGGACTATTCTTATATTAGTGCTCCAAGTGTAATTTTGGCATTACTGATTTTTTTAGGAGTTCATGGCACTTACACACTGTAGATACCATTTTGTTTAGTGATTGCTGATTGTGTAGCTCAGTGCTAAAGAAATGTAGACATTAAATATGAAGTGAGGGCAATTAATTTGGTAAGCTAACTGGCAAAAATAAAGGAATTATGTAGATTCCTTAGAACTGATTTAATTTGGCCAAAAAAAACCCCAACAAAGGATAATCAGGTTTGTATAGTAGAAATGAGAAATTTATTTTGTTTTAAAATGGGTAGCTCAGCATTTCCCAGATCCTGTTTTGAGGAGTAGAAGTATTGTGTGAGATACTAATGTTTAGGGGAAAAAAAAGACAAAAAGGGTTGTGAGGTCAAAAAATTTAGAAAATGGTAGGTTAAGCAAAGTGAAACAAGTTTTGTTATTTCAGTATTTCTGCTTTTAATAGGTTTATTGTGAAGTCAAGGCTAGCCGTGGTTTTCTGTCTAGGAAACAAATATTAGAGTAACTTGGAAATTTTTTTTAACAACATTCAACTGCCATTTCCTGTACAGTACTAGAATATCTATGTTTTGTTTTGAACATTTTGAAACATTCCCTAGTAATCTGATGTATTCTTACTTTCTGCTGAGAACTGCAGAGATACGGTGTGCGGGCTCCCCCAAATTTCTTTGAACATAGATTATCTCTTTTGGAGAGTGTATTAACCATTTCAAGGTTCAAAAGTCATTTTAGAATGTTTGGCAGATTATGAAGTTTGCAGAAGATAATTGTTTTCCAGTTTGGGAAATGTCTTTGGCTTTGGGACCACCTTTCTCATGTGGATTGCCTTCTTTTTTTTTTCTTTAATCATGATTATTTAACTTATATCTTCAAATTCTAGAAAAAGTTCAAAGAAATGCTGTATATAATTTTGACCTATTTGTTTAAAGGCATTGTTGAATCTTATGGTAACTTGCTTAATTTAGTTATCTGTATTGAAGTGCTTTCTAAAACTTTTTGATTACAGAATGCATATTCGTATTATATATAGTAGGTATATAACTTTATATGTTTGCTACCCAGAAATTTCAAGATATTGAAGAGACTCATCTCATTCACGTAAAGGAAATTATAGGATCCTTGTCAAATGCAGTGAAGGAAATTCACTTGCAGATAGGCCAGGTAAATTTTTTACTTTACAGTGAGTTGATTCATGAAAAATTTATGTTCTATTTATGGCTTTTTATATATCTTTTGTTACTCTGCCTAAAACCCATTGATATGATTCTGAAATGTTTCAGCTAAGGAACGTGTATTTACATGTATGTTCTGTTGTGGCACCAAGCATGAAAATTCAAACTGCTTGTTAAAATTAACCGTGTTCAGTCTACTTCACATTAAGATTTTGAATTACCAGTTTTTGAATATTTATTTTTTCAAGTTTTACTCTTTTTAAGTTTAGGACAGCAACTTTTGTAAGAGAACTTAATCTTTGAAATATACTAGAAATTTAAAAGTAGTTTATGACAGCCGGGCGTGGTGGTGCACATCTGTCATCCCAGCACTTGGGAGGCTGAGGCAGGAGGATTGAGACCAGATCGATACCAGCCTTGGCTACAAAGTGAGCTCAGGCCAGCCTGAACTATAGTGAGACCCTGTCTCAAAAAGACCAAAAAAAAAAAAAAAAAGTTTATGACAGTTTGGAGTGCATTAAAATTCAGTACAAAAAGGTGAAGTCTAAATTAAAAATCTAAGACTATTTTCACTATCTTTATAAGTTTAATTATTGTAAGAATTTTGTTTCTAAAACACTTGTGAGAAGAGAACAGGAAACTGCTTTTACTTCAAAGGCTGTAAGGCCATGTCTTAAGGGATGAAGGTAAGCAATGGTTGTTCTCCGCAGAACTGTGAGTTGGGTAACAGCATGTTATTTCATAACTATGTAAATAAAAGTTCCTGAATGCCCTTGCATCCCAAATTTTCAATTCTTTTTATCTGAAGTAGAGTAAAAATATTTGTGGAAGATGTTGTCTTTATTTTGGTTTAATAGGTCCATGAAGAATTTATAAATAACATGGCTAATACTACAGTTGAAAGTTTGATACAGAAATTTGCTGAGTCAAAAGGCACTGGAAAGGAAAGACCTGGTAAGGTGATAAATTGCAAGGAAACGTTTTCAAATTTCCCATCTAATAACAAATATTTGCCTTTAAATTCTTGTCTGTAAGAGAGAGTTTTAACTTTATATCACATACCTGAGCCAAATAACATATGGCCAGAGGTACTGTGCATTTTTAAAATGTATTTGTTGGCCCTCTGTATTTTTGAGCAATGTCTGTTTATTTCACTTGTCCACTTTTTGATTGGATCTTTGGGGGAGGGAGGTTCTTTTTTAAATAATTAGTATTCTAGATATTAGTCTTCTGTCCAAGGAGTAGCTGACAGAAGATTTTTCCCATTCTGTAGGTGGTTGCTTCACTCTGTTAGCTGTTTGCTTTGGTGTGCAGAAGCCTTTTAATTTGTTGAGTCTCAGTGGTATTTCTTACACACTTGAGGTGCTGTTCAGAAAGTCTTTACCTATACTTATGTCTTTCTGAGTTTTACCTATTTTATCTTATAGCAGATTGTTTCTGTTTTAATAGCGATACTCCAGTTTCTTTCCAGATTGTATAAATCTTTCACCTTCTATTTTAATATCCAGGTCTTTGATCCATTTTGATTTTACTTTATTATATAGTGATAGATGTGGTTCTCAACTCAATCTTCTGCATATGTGTAACCAGTCTTCCCAGCACCAAAAAGTCTAGCTTTCCTCTAGCGTATGATTTTGGCCCTTTTGTCACAGATAAGATGACTACAACTGCCTGGGCTTGTTTCTCTATCCTCTGTTCTGTTTCATTGATGTCTGTCTTTGTGCCAGTGTCATGTGGTTTCCCATCTTTTTTTTAAAAAAAAAATACGTTTGAGACAGGCTTCCACTAAATTGCCCAAGCTGGGCTCAAACTTGCAATCCTCCTGCCTCAAACTTTCAGTCCTCCTGTCTCAGCCTCCCAAAAGTGCAGGGATTATTATAGGCATGTGCTGCCATGCTGACTAGAAATATACTGAATTTATCAAAACATACCACTAATTTCCTTTAATACAGACTTATGGGTTAATTAAAGTTCTGTCAATTCTCAGAAATTTTGCTAACTCATTGTACAAGGATTGTTGAACCACTTCATTCATTTTGTTGTGCCTGCCTACCTCGCTATACATTCTCTGTGAAAAACCTGACACATTACCCAGATAGCTTACAAATTCCTGTCCCTGGGTTAGGTTTTTAAAGTAGCTATATAGCAAAATAGCCCTTAAACTCACTGCCTGATTCCTTTTAAATTCTAGATACATAGGTCATGTTGTTTTGTTCCTTGTGCAGTGAAGTAATTGTACAATTTGCAGGAGTGAGCCCTTTAAGTCTCAGTGCCCTCATCTGTAATGTGGGCATAATAGTAGTGCCTGCCTCATGGGCTTATTGTGAGGGTTATATGAGCTACTGGGACATTATTATTTAGTAAATATTATTTTCAGGAGCCACTGTGTTTCCAGATTAATAGGTATACTAAGATGTGTAGAAAATACCTGTTATTTAAATGGTAGGAGGTAAGAGGAAGACCAAGAATGGTGATGACATGTGCTTTCCTAGAGTCATTAAAACTAGAATTAGGTGACGATCGATAGTGTGACTGGTTTCAAAAAATGATCCTAAAACTAACTTTTGAGTAAAAGAGGTTTGTGTGGAGTACAGTAGAAGGGGGATGGGTTTTACTTGTCTGGTGAAGTTAAAGAAAAGGCACACAAAATTTTGTGTGTGGTTGTGTTGAATTCTAAGGTATATTCTAAATTTAATTTTTGTTAACATTTTATCTCTTGTTTTGTAAGGGCCCCCTCTGGTGGATGAGTTCCTACCTAAACTAGTTTTAGTTCTATGGGACACAGCTTGCTACAGAACAGGAGACCCAGTTCTTCTTTGAAATTTGTGTACTTAAAAGTTAACCCATGTCTCTGGTGCCAAAAAATGACTGTTTAAAATGTGCACAACAGGGCCATAATTCGTATGTCTTGCTGCTGGGTGATTTGAACCAATAGTTAGTACATGAATGACTGTTCTTCCTGGTGGCTTTTTATTGATTTTATTGGTAAAAAGACCAATAAAAGTAATTAGATTTGATTGTACTGCTAGGGGTACAAGCCACCTGATGGCACATCATGTACACATCACTTGTGGTTCAAGCTGGCAGAAACGTGTTAATCTTTAGTTACTTATCTATGGCAAGATAAAACCTGTCACTTTTTTTTTTTTTTTGCAATTTCTCTATGTAAGTCAAATCCACTGGGAGTACTAAAAATTTCCCCTACTCTTTGAGATATAATTATATGGAGTCTGCCAAAAAAAATGTATACACACTTCAGGAAAAGAGAAATAATATTGTTTTTGAACAGAAGGCTACCACTTTGAGCACCTCTTGAATTAATCTCATGATGTCTCAGTAAATTTAGTATTAAAATATTATGTACATTTTTCTTTTCCTATGTTTATACATTTTTTTGGCAGACTCTGTTACAGTTTTTTGTTATTGTGTGATTCCTCTGGAGTTTGAGTCACTGTAAGTAGATGTTTTGAGTGGCCTGAAATAATTGTGAAGAAACAGGTGCTTTCTAATTTTAAATATCCTTTTATAGTCTAGTAATACTTTAGTAGTCCTAGGGTAGTCATCTATTTCATTTGCTAAAAGAGATTAAGATTCATATTTTTAGTATTTCCTATTTTACAGTCATTCTGCTTTTCATACTTTAACAAAAGTTCAGAAAATTTCAACATACGAGAAGCAAAAGGAGTAATTTAAAGAAAATAAAAATTAGTGGGCCAGTCTGTAATATGTTTAATAAAAAGAGTTGTTGAAAAGGTGGTCTACATTTTCATTATATGTGATATTGATGGGTTTTATAGCTTCCATTTCAAGGTTTCTGAGAACTTCAGAGATACAGATCTTTAAAATTGGTACAGAGACTGTTTGTATCATCAACAGTCTTAGAAAGGTGGACATTAAAAGCAATGAAAAACAAAATGGAAAAACGAGATACCTGTGGTCAGTCTACCTAAACAAGTTTAATGGATTTGATATTTAGAATATTTTAGCTTCTGTATTTTTATTATTATAAATTATAGAATAAAACAGATAATCATTTCAAATTATGATCTAGTGATATCTTTTGAGACCCCTGGAAGATTTGGTATAATACTAAACCTGTAGAGAGCCTTTTGCCCTTATCCTCACCAAGAAAAATTTTTGAAAGACCAATCTTTTATGAGCTAAGGAAGTTGTATGAGATTTATATTTCTGTCTATAAATAAAATTTTATTTGAACACAGTCATGTATGTATTGTCTGTGACTGCTTTTGCACTGCAGTCACAAAGTTGAGTAGTAATAATAAACCATATGGCTCAGGAAGTCTGAAACACTATCTGACGCTTTACAGAAAGTATCCCCACACCCAGTGTATTAGAGAATAGATTTCTTTTGTAGTACAGTAGCAGATGGTGTATGTCATAATACATTAGAATTGTGTAGCTCCTGATAAAGCCTTGTAGAAAGCAGATTCTCCTGTTCTTGGTTTCCCAGATCATTTAATCTGCCTTTCTGCACCACCTGCAGATACACTCATAGCACAGCACAATAATTGATCCTCATAATAATAATCCAAAATTGTGAAATATTAAACTATTTTGAGCAAGCTTTGTTTAAAGGCAGCTTAGGTCATTAATTTGAGATAGCGTTAAAATGTCAATAAATGTGTAAATCTTGTGACAAAACAAAACAAAATAGCTGAGCTGATTACAATTTGTACAAATTATGTGGTTAGTTATAACAAGGGTAGGACTTTAGCTCTTTGCAGTATATAAAAAGAACCTAACTCAAACCAATTAAAACTTAAAAGGAAATTTATTGGAAAGAAACTGAGGTATCCCAAATTGCAGAATAGTCAGGCCTCAGAAGGAGACTCAAAACAAGACTAGAAAAGTAAGATATCATTTTTCATTCATTCTAGCTCTACTACTGCTTTATTTTCTTTGCAAAATGGCTTCCTTTGCTTCTGTGGGCATATGATATAATGTGATCTCCAAGTAATTTTAGCTTTTTTAAACTTCTTGTAGCTACAGCTCAGAATTAATCCAAAAATTTTGTCCTTTTTCAAATTTCTTGAAGCAAGAATACTGTACAACCTGTTGGCCCAGGCAGGGTCAGGTAGTCTTTTAAGTTTGGTCAGTCTGGGTAGAACATGGCTATAGTACAACTTTAACTCGAAGAGGCAGGATTTCTCAGAGAAAAGAGATTGTCATGAACTCGGCATAATCCTCCAAATATCTCCTGCAGTCATCCCCTTGAGAGGTACAGGATCTCTGGAGGTGGAATTTGGAATAGGTAGGAATGTCATTTCATTAATGATTAATGATACTGACATCTTCTCCTGTGTTTTCTGTTTGTATGTCTTTGGAGAAAGGTTTTCTTGAGTCCTTCACCTTTTTTTTCCCTTAAAGTTGTCATAGAGTCTCGTCATATTGCCTAGACTGGTCTCAAACTCCTGGGCTTAAGGGACCCCACCTCTCCCTTTAGAGTAGCTGAAACTGTATGCGCCTTTGTGCCCAGCTTGCCCTTGTTAAAATTGTATTCTTTCTCTTTGTTGTTGAGTTCTAAGAGTTTATTCCAGGTACTAGATTCTCATTCTCAAGCCATTTTGAAAATATTTTCTACCATAATGTGGGTCATCTTTCTTGAAAGTTCCTTTGATGCACAGATAGTTTTTGTTTTGATGAAGTTCAAGTTATGTGTTTTTCTCTTTTATTGGTTGTGCTTTTGCTTTCATATCAAAGAAACAATTGCCAAATTGAAGGTTGTGAAAATTTACCCCTTTCCTTTAAGAATCTTTTTTTTTTTGGTTTTTCTCTGGTACCGGGAACCGAACTCACGACCTTGCGCTTGCCAGGCAGGCACTTTTGCCGCGGAGCTAAATCCCAGCCCCAAGAATCTTTTTTATTTAGGGCCTTCGTCCATTTTAAGTTAATTACTGTATATAGTAGGAGGTAAGGATTCAACTGCATTCTTT